CCCTTGTATAAAAAAAAAGAATATTAAAAAATCTAAATTAAATTCTGAATGTTTTATAACAGTTAGATGCAGAACAGACAGCGGCAAATCTTGGCGTGCAACAGTATGATGCGTTATTGCTGCACGGAGATATGGACCAAGCGGATAGGAATAAGGTCATCACGGCGTTTAAACGCCAAGAACAAAATATTCTAGTCGCCACCGATGTTGCTGGTGAGAACTTTTGATATTATTTGGCTCTTGTACCCAAAAGCTAAACGTCCGTATCTTCCGAATTGCGCCAATTATGAAGGTTTTAAAGTTCTCGAACGGATAATCTCAAATCCAAAGTATAAAAAACACATTGCAATGCGTATACGTAAGAGTACAACGTGTTACACGTCCATGATTAATTTTATCGCTGGCGCACAGATAATACTACTGTTCTCGAGGTTTGACCACTTACTAGTGTCCTTTCCAGTGCCTCCGTCCAAAAGCCTTGACAAAATAAAAACGAAATTTCTTAAAACTAGGAATAAAATCATACATAGTTAGCCCGAACAATAGTGTATTAGTGTGTTACATCTATATGTGCATTTGTAGGTTCGCTGATAGTAAACATAATAATAATGTTTTAACATAATATAGAATAATATCGTACAACTAAATTGAATTATTATTTTTATTAATATAATTTAATAAAAAGCTTTTGATTCCTTGCTTTTTCTAAATGTTAACAAAAAACTACATTTCGTATTATAACTATTTATTTTAATTATAAATTTTTCTATTTGTTTATAATTAAACATCTGTTCGTTTTTGGAAGATACTTTACAACGTATATTTGTTTAAGCTCTTATATATTAAAAATTTCCAGCTCGTGGTTTGGACATCCCACACATTCGTACAGTGATAAATTACACGGTAGCGAGGGACATAGACACGCACACGCACCGTGTGGGACGAACTGGACGTGCGGGTGTACGCGGAGATGCGTACACGCTACTGGCGAAGCAGACTGATAAAGAGTTTGCGGGACATTTGTTGCGGAATTTGGAAGGAGCACAGCAGGTTTGTTTAGTAATGGTTCAATATTTTTTTTTGCCGTGCTTTAATGATGGCTTACGGGACTTCTCACAACAATTTAAGCTAAGCTTCATATTTTTATGATATGCAGGAAGTTCCAGAAGAGTTAACACAATTAGCGATGCAGTCAGCGTGGTTCAGAAAATCCCGCTTCAAGAAGGGAAAGGGAAAGAATTTGAATATAGGTGGCTGTGGATTGGGGTATGTATTAAATTTTCAGAAAACTGTTTTTTTTATTATTTTTACAGTATTAATTTTTCTAATTACGACGTGCCATGTAGTTTAATATCATCCTTACAAATAAGTTTTTAATCCTCCCAAAAATATTTATTTATCTATTTCTTAACAAATATTCTTATTTTTAATTTTTTTTATTTACTATATACTTTTAATCTTCCAAGACTTCTTTACTAACACTTAATTTTTACTATTATTATTATAACATTATTTTTCTTTTTTTGCGTCTGAGGCGCAAGCTAACTGTTGTGGTCTGTGGCAATGTGAATGTGAATGACCAGCCTACACGTCAGCTAGTATATTATGCTGAGCTCCAGAGCTAGTTATGGGTCTTAAAAAAATTGTTATTTTTATTTTATTTTTTTATTATTATTATTTTGTGTTTCTGTGTATGTGTTTCCTTAGTAATAAATGCTATGTCTAATAATAATAATATGTTTGTAGGTACAAGGAAAGGCCTGGCCTACCAAATGTCAGCGAGGAGTCCGTAGTGAGCGTCCCAGCCGGCGGCCCAGCCACAGATCGCCTCGCCTCCCTCAAACAGGCCTTCCGATCGCAGTATAATAAAGTACGTTTTTTTAAAACACACATACATACATAAGTAGCACATGATTAAAAAAAATGGTGTAGTACCTATATCATGTAGAATTTGTAACTATTGTATGTAAAGGTTCCTTTTTGACTTAGAAAACTAAATGAGTGTGACAATAATTATTCATTCTTGTTTTTTTTGTTACTCACAGTGGTTGCCTTGAAGAGATCTCTCGAAAACAATAAGGCGGCTTGTATTTTCCCTCCTTTTATTTAATTATTTAAGTTTTACTGTGTAACTGCAACGGAGTGTAAATAATAAAAAAAAAGTTTGATTTTAATATAAGAATGAAATACTTAATAATAACTATATAATGTATTGGTTCGCTGCTTATATATCGACAACTGCTAAATAGATTGGCAGATATTGATAAGTTTTTGTGACAGTTCAATATCGCTGCAAATCTGTAAAATAATATATGAGCTTAAAATTATTAAAAGTATTTGTTACCATGGCTCCCAAAGTTCATGATAAAACACCTTGTTTACAGTTCACAGCATCAACAGACCACTCGTGGGAGCAAACGCGTCCCGTGCTCCAACCCGGGGTGAATGCCCCTGCCGCACAAGAAGAGAAGAGAGTGAGAAAGGGTGGGAAGAAGAGCCGCTGGGAATGATGTATATAATTAAATAAATAATGTGAATAATCGATATTTTATTCCTTGTTTTATTTACCTGTATTCGATAATGAATTTATTCTGTATATAATAAAAAGATTTAATGGGGACCCGTAATGGTTTTATGTTATAAATGCAGTTTTATAGTCCTTGAGAAACTAAAACATAAGTAAAAAAAATTTTGTTCTACGACCAAAACTGACAAAGTTATGGGCAAAATACCGAAAGGTTTATGACCGCGTGAATGAAGGATGACGTCACAAATCTCAACGCTTCCGCCGAACCACAGCGCGCCCCGCGCTGTTTATTCTGTTGCGATCTCGTCACGGAGCGTAACGTCTCCAGTTTATACCCAATGATTAAGAAGTGATTTAATTTGTTTAATATTAGAAGGTTTTATTATAATATAACAAATCAGTGGTAGAAAATAAGGGTAGATATCGGTTTTGACAGCAATCCGAAATCTACCTAAATGGTATTGATTATCTTAGTAATCATTTAAACTACACAAGCGCTGATATTCGTGGTTGTAAACTTCAGAGGTAAGCAAATCTCATTATCAACCTAATCAAAACAGCAGGATAAAAGTAGGTAGGAATAAGGGTCGTATAGGCCCGAAAGTTAGTAAGGTTTATGGATATGAAATGTTACCGGGAATATTCTTTAATGTTTCTGGGTGCATTGCAGTCGGAAATCTTATTGGGAGTTAGTTCCTAGTATTGTTAGTAGGCAACTGACAGACATTTGGTAGGTAAGTAGAGAAAAGTGCCCGACGAAATATAAATTCAATCCATGACTTGGATGTGTTAGTTTTGTAGTGAAATGAATATTAGAAACAAAGTAATGGTAGGTAACTTTATTGTTACCTTAGATTGTTTGAACAAGTAATCCTAATGATATGGCTAAGTATACGTATTAAACGCTACGAATACTTTTTCAGTAGGGCGTGAATCATATGGTGATGAAGTGTGGGATTTGTTAAGTGCAAAAAACAGGAGATATGTGACAGTCAAGCAAAAATTACACCAGAACATAAAATAAAGGGTAAAGTATTGTGCACCAAGAAATAATACTAAACATTGAGTTATGATTGTGTGCTCAACTGGGAGGTCGTGAGCGGGTGTAGCATTCATGTGGCTTTACAAACGAAGCAAGGAACCATCCCCAACAGAAAAAAATGTTATTGGACTAAGCCTAAATTAGTACGGTGGGCACCACTTTAAAATTTATAACGGTACAAGAAAAATCTATATATATATCATAACCAGCTGGCAGCCTATTGCGTACCACAAAGCGCTTAAAAAATGTGTTAATTACATTACATGTATAATAAGTGAGTTTAGAAAAGAGGGTATAGATATAAACATGCAGCTCATTTTATTGACTGTAGAAGACTGTAGCAAAGCAGAAGAAGCAACATTATCGCAAGCTGATTCACCATTGTGAAGGGAACGAAGATACTGCAGAGTAACGGCGTCAAAAATTCACGAAACTGCAAACTGAAGACTGATGGTGTTTTAGTTGAACAGATTTTCGGGGCATCCATAAGGAGACAGTCGCTATGGAAAGTGGAAAACGTCTGGAACCAGAAGTAAGAGCAGTGGTGGCTAAACTAAACGTATTGTAAAAATATTCGCAAAGAGTTTGAAAAAATGGCGTAAAATACGTCTAGGGTTTTCGGTGAAAAGCGTTCAACAGACAGACAGACAGACAAGAAATTCAAAAAAATATTTTTGTTTTATTGCGTGTATGGAGCTCTCATAACTCGATTATTCAAAAAATATTCAATGTATAGAATCACTTTGGCTACAGTTTTATTACCTACAGATACATATTCCCAAAGGGGAATTTCCCTGTTCGGCATTGGGAAATATTCCCGGGAACGGAATTTATTTAGTTGAGCTCAGTAGACCCTGGGTTTTACCAGACTATGAGGAAGGGTTATAGAACTTACTACTTACTTTTTATCATTTATTTATTCATTGAAATATAGTAACCTAGTACGACCCTGTATTTTTCTTTAACATTCGTACAAACAAGTTTTACTAAGATACTGTTTACCACATGAGTAATGAAGGTTACTGTCACCCCTCTTCATGACAGTACACCATTTTTGCGCACTTTCAGGTCCCTTGGCACATGAAAAAATGTTTTTCAGGTGTACTAGTTGAAGTATAGTACATTTCGGTACTAAAGTACTTATAATGCGGCATATTTTCACTAAAAACCACAAAACCACAACACGACCCGCGAGATGAGTGAACTTTAATAAATGAATGGCGGAAGCGAGCGCAAGGGCGGAGGGAAATCGTGAGTAATGAGCATTTGGCCGCGCAGGTTGGCTTACAAAAGTGTAATATCTCAACAATTTACCGATTTCAATGATTTAAAAAGTATTGTACCTAATGAGTAAAAGGAACACTATTATATAGATAATATATGCATTTCCGACTTTTAGGGGGACCCATTCTTAATGACTAACGTAAATGGCGTATAATTCGGAGGTCTTAGGTTTAATGCCTGGGGCAACCACTCGGTTTTGGTAGGAACAAAAACCTTATGTAATGGTAAATGAAATAGACTGAACTTGCTTTTTTATACTGATTATCGTTAATAAACTGATTTTTTTTTAAATAACTAAGCCACTCGCTGAATGAATACAAGAATTATTTCGGGTTGGTAGGGTGTTCACAAAATTGGCTTAAGTATATCAATGAAATAATCAATAGCCGAGAAATTTGTCGGTCTCATGCTCGATGGCTGGCCATGCGTCATACTCGTGAACGGGTGCTACTTGTGACTGGTCGGATTTGAATTCGTGTATGCGGTGCTGTTAGTTATTTCGATTATATATTTGCGTGTTGTTCGCACTTACATAAGTGCGTGCCCCTATTTCACCATGCCTCCTGCTGATAGAGGACAAAGCTTTGTTTTTTATTTATTTTATTATTAATACTATTAATTATTTAAGATGTAATGTGGAACATGGTGTAATGGTTGCAGCTCCTTACAAAAATTGTAATTTTTTTGACATTACAAGACAACGATTTTTATTAACAAAATTTGATTTTTATAAACGATTCTGTTTACATATTCACGCTAAATTCGCTTTATCGGCGTCTAAAATCGCAGTAAAACTTGTGTAAAACAATCCAACTAGTGGCGTGTGGTTCCGCAGTTTGCCGAATAAATTAAAACTTCCGCGCGATTAGAGCTTGTTTAACACTTCACGTAGCCATTAAAACTTGTGGAAATTGATCGAATAGGCTCGGAAAGGTACGATACTGCAAAAAATATACTAGCTCTCTGCTCCGAGCTCTGTCTCAATAGTTTATTAATTTGTGGAACGGAAAAAAGAAAAGTCCAAAGTCCTAAAATTTATATTATTGTAAAAATAAGTAGTATGGAACCCATCAAGTAACTATCACCTCTAAGCGATATATTTTGGATCTGGTCATTAATTTAAATTCATATAATGCAAGGCAATAGAAAAACATTTATTGCCTTTATTATATAGATAATATATTGTTCTATATATGTTTGTAGGTATATAACCTAAGAATACCGCGTCAATATGTTTTATAGGTCAAAAGGTATTAAAGGTAACGCCGATTTCGCACAGGGAGTTCGGTTACCGTAGAAAAAAAGATTTGGTTTATACGGCAATGATTTTGATGCTTGATTGTTGTATTAAGTGCCGTAACCCAGTAATATGACAGATAAAGAATCTTCGCCGTGTCGTAAAAGGCGACACCCACGGGCTCATCGCCCTCTGGTGGGATAATTGAGTGTTTACTGTTTAGTGTGTAGTCCCACACTCCCGGAAGCTCATCCCGTTCCACTCCGAATCATGGCAGCATTATCAAATTGAACAGTTTTACGCCAGGAGGGTACCTGCACTTCTGGAGCAGAATTCGTCTCTGGGTTTGCTTCCACAGGTTGCCCCATGTATTCTAAGGGGACCAAAATACCGCTCAACTGTACAGGCAAAACCAGAAATAAACCCGCAACACGATTTAACACGGACTTTATTAACATTGGGAGGCTTCACTATATAAATTAAAGACAAAATTAGCGCACCAACCAGAAGGCTGCATAAAACGAGTAATTCTTTCCAAGGCAATTGTATAGGTTTTTTTAACAAAATCCCTAGTGAGATACAAGTGTTGTCAATAAATAAATTGAAATCGTACATTAAAGTAAAACTGCTTGCTAAGGCTTATTATAATATAAATGAATATTTAAACGATCCTAGTGCTTGGATATAAGTTGCTCCAGTATAAATAGGTAACGCGACTGAATCTCTCGGCTGCATTTCCAGACTCTGGGACGATCGTCAACATCCACGACTTTTAATGAAAAGTGGGAAGAAACCGTGATCCATGTGGTATCAAATTATTTCAGTATTATTATTATTTTCTTATGTAGCCAAGTCCACATTTCAAGGATCGTCGTGCTCGCTTAAATGTCATTGCTTGTGGCGGCGTCCATGCGTCGGGTTGTCTCTCTCCAAAATATGGCGAGGGGGCCGATGGCTGGCCATGCGTCATACTCGTGCTACTTGTGGTGACTGGTCGTACTTGAATTCGTGTATGCGGTGATGTTAATTATTTCGACTACCTATGTGTTTGTGTGTTGTTCCCACGAGAATGTAAGTGCGTGCTCCTATTTCACCATGCCTCCTGCTGATAGTGGACAACTCTTTGTTTTTAATTTATATTATTATTATTAATTGCTTAAGATGTCATGTGGAACATGGTTTAATGGTTGCAGCTCCTTACAAACGTTGTGTAAAAAAAAAAAAAATGGCGATTAAAAAGAGTGGCGGAGAGTTTATTGCCAGTTCTTCTCTTCCGTTCTACGCCCTTGATTTGAGAACTGGCACTAAATGTAAAATTAGAAGCATTAATATTATGTATTTCTTTGCTGACAAGTCATAAGTGTACCTAATGTGTTACCCATTTGATTAAATGATTTTTGAATTTTGAAATCCCGTCCATTTTTACCTTGAGAAGCTTAACCCGGCCTTATTTTTTCTAACGGAGTCTAAGATACTTCCCTCGGTTGCTGAACTTCTTGCTTATCTGACTCATTGTGGGCCAATACTGTAGAAAGTAAGGAAGAGCATTGGCGGCATGGATATAATCAAAGCCTATGAATTTTGATAGAATTTGGCATGGGGTACTTCTGTGGTAACTACCTTTATACAGTATGCCCGATGGATTATGCTTCCAATTACCAACGAAACCAATATTATAGTTAAGCTGGTTACCGAACTCATGGTGAGTAAGCACGATGAACCACTAAGCCAAGGTAGGCTGATCGCCTATGAAAGTATGAAAAATGATAAAGAAAAATGTCCATTGAAAATGATACAGTATTTTCTTTACTAACTCGAATGCATTTCTCATTTCAATCTGTGACTCACAACTCTGTACCTAAACAAATTAGTCAAATGTAGCAATTAGCAAACTTAATATTGAACAAACTCTATTAAAACAACTTCCACCGCTCATCAGCACTTTCGTGACTATGTTTAGGCAATCAGCAGTTTTAACTTACAAAGTGTTTGTTATTTGCTTTTAATCAATATTTGCAAGACGTATTTTGAATATTCAAGAAGATCTGTATCTTCTTAATTTATTGCTTAGCAGCTGTGTGTTCGAGTCTTCGAGTTCTGTCCAGTAGAGGGTTATTATTAGATTATCATTATATTTTTATTTACCTACCATGTGCTTTAATTCAACTATGTTAACTTGTCTCTAAAATAGGGTGCCCATTCATTGAATATATATAGGAATTATGGTACTTATAATTTTTTTTGTAAGATAGATAGGTATGTACCATACTAGATTGTACAGTGCACACACCTTATATTCTAGTAGGTTCCACTAATGACTAACAAATTATATTACTTAGATAAGGAATTAGAAGACCTAAAGTATGTATAGTGGCTAGTCGCAAGAATAAACGTAGAGTTTCAGTACTTAAAACTCATCTTGTAATGTACTATAAATCGAGATACTGTTATCGTAGTTGTTATGAAATTATATTAAAATACAACATAAAATTTCTTCGTATTATTTTCATCGTTATAATGCCTTCCCACTTAAGATATGACTAAATCACCAAAAATTTACGAATTCTAAAACACTACAAGTATTAAAGTTCTTTAATAAAATCGCTTAAAATGTTTTGTAGTACAAATTAATGGACCTAAACAACTTCCGCTCCATCGCGCGCCAAGAGCTACGCTCAAAGCAAATGCTCAGTGCACGTGTTGTGTCTGTGGCAAAAAGGCGGGAATTGGAAAACATTTTTGCTCTGTGCTTTTGTTTTTTCAAATGGAGTGTTTGTGTTAATTTGGTATGGTTATATTTATTTTATTTATGGTGCAATTTATTTCTTTTTATTTAATTTATTTTTAAATTTACAAAGACAAATTCGTATTTGGGGCTTTATGTCTTGTTGAGTAATTATTTATGGCAATAGTTTTAACGTTATGTTTAGTAATTTTAATTAAAAATGACAGCCATCTCAAAGTTTAACTTAAATGAAACTTAAAATAACTTCTAGTAGCTACGAGCTAAGTTAATAAACTATGATGTATTAATATTTATTACCGGAAGTTATGTACTCTTTAATCTATTTACGCACATGTTTAAGTTTCATTAAAATTCATGAAAAAGTACTTCGTCGCCGTTTAGTTCCGATAAAAAACAGGATTAATTTAAATACTAGTTATTTTACAAGAAATTGTTTTAACTTAATGTTAAGCACGCGGACATTGACATTAAAATAAATTCGTTTTAACCATACATTGTCTTCTAAATGTTCGTTACTCCTGTAGATTATTGTGTCAGTTTAGATTAATCTCGATAATCAAGTGGATATAACTTACCAAGGTCTACTTTTTGCTGCGTAGTTATAGCAGCATTATATACTCGTATTTTATTTACTCGGTTTCATTAAACTTTATATTATTTTAAACTGTACAATATTTCTTATTTATTATTTGTCTATTGATATGTGCTTTTATTTGTCTTAGACGTTTTTAAATTATTTTTATTTAGATATCCTATTTACCAAGTTGTAATAGTTTTAATACCATACACTTATGTAGTACTTACTACGTACATAATATACGAAGAGTGAATACGAATAATGTGAAAAGATAGAAATCTGTATTTTAGACCAGACAACGTAAATCTCCTATCACCTAAATGAAGGCTTGTATGAGTATGTGTTTTTGATGAAATAAAATTTGAGAATATCCTTATTACTTAAGGGTATGAAAAATAGTGTACGACCTATTCTCAGACATACACTAAAAATTTAATCGGTAAACATTTCAGACGAGTTTGGTTACAACACACTGACAAATGTATACATATAGATCATATCGTCATGATCGTAGAACAATGTCGGATTTAAGAAAAATCCAAAATCCACTTTTTATTATATTTGGATACTACATTGACTAAATATTACGCGCTACAAAAAAACCCATGTGTTTTAAATTTAAAATTAATCAGTCGGTAAAGTGATGGGATTTGATAAGCTATAGAAGATGGATTTTTCTAGAAAACTGTGTAATTTAATGTTATTATTTTTTTTGTTCAAAACAGACCCTTGTTGATGCCAATTTTCAAAAAGAGTACGAATAAAAAGTAAGTAAAAAACTAACATGATTCATACATTATGAAATGGCTGCCCTGTCAAAGTTTACTCATCTTGTCTGGATCCGTCACCATTCTACGACGATATATGCACTTCAAAGCCTCAACCTCGAGACCCGCAGACCTAACCACTAGGCTCACGCCCACTTAAAGTGTATTTTAACAGAACACAGGCAAGTAAAAATGTTTTAACCGATTAGGTGCGTCACAGCCGACTGCCTCGACCTTCCAACTACAATACGCTCACAAATTACATGTCATTTTTACTTTTAAATATCGGTTTTTACAAGGACACTGCGAATCATTGTTTAGAGCCTCCGATAACGTGACTATCACTCGCGCATAACATAATTTAATATGGCGTATCAGTCAGTTGGTTACGTATGAGGTGCTGCTTGATTGGATAGGTGAGATAATTTTATTATTATCAACACTAGTATTATAAAGACGGGTGAATACTGGGAATAGAGTAAGGGTCTGTTTCACAATGTATGGAGAAAGTAGCAAATAGCTATGCAACATAAATTATTTGTAAGATAAATTGTGCTATTTGACACTTCATCGGACTCATAACTTGTGATGGACTTTATATGACGAATAGCGCTATCTGACAGTCGTGAAACGCAACAATAGTGTTTATCCTACCAATAAGTAATAAATAGCTAATTTGGAACTTATGTAGAACTTATCCGTACATTGTGAAACAGATCCTAAATGGAGCGTTGTGTGTAGCCAAGAAAACTCGAGGCTCGATTTTCCGTAAATAGGGGAGTGATTATCCCGACGTTAGCATACGGGAGTGAATGCTGGATGGCAGTGGAAGAATGAAAGTATAATAAATGTGGAAATGAGAGCCTTAAGTGTTGCGTGATAGGATAAGTAAGTAAGTAATAGTGAGATACGTGAGCAGGGGGTTAAAAGAGGATGTAGTGATAAGGATACGAAAGGGAATGCTTAGGTTAGCCCATGTAGAACAGATGGGAAGCGGCTTACAAGTAGGATATATTAAGCGACCGTGGATGGTGAAGTCGGGTTCGTAGGCTTTGTACACCTGGACCAAATCCAGGTGATACTAGAGAAGGGAAAAGTTAAAAGTATCCATAACCGACGAGCATGCATGGTGAATGCCATGAAAGTGGATGAAGCGATAGCAAGTGGAGATCCGTGGTCTCTGCCTACTCCATCGAGATAAAGGCATGATAATATAAATAAATATAAAAAAAGTATTATAAAGAGGAAATGTTTTGTTTGTTTTGGCTTACTGGTCCGATTGGTGCGAAAAAGTCTTTCACCATTAGAATCCTTCGCTATCCCTAAAGAACATAGACTATAATTATTTTTGAAAAAAGCTAGGAATCCGATTCAAAACTTCGATAATCTAACCTTAAGTGTGAAATAAAAGCCTGTATAGCCTACACTGCGGAAACTATTGAGTATAGAAGACATCGATATCTGCGGGACTGATGGCTTTTTATTAATGTCCGAGAGATTTATACATTAGTAAGCATACATTTTAAGCAGCTTACTGCATTCTTGGCCTTATGGCTTTAGCGTGCGATTCTCGACTAACGTCTTAGGTTCGAACCCCGGCTGTGTCTATTTGCTCTTTTAACACTCGTTTGTACGGTGAAAGAAAATATCGTGAGGGATGCGGCACCCAAAAATACTACTACTATTAGAAAAAACAAACATCGCGAAACAGATACTAAATTTGAGGCCAAAACCAAAAGTAATAGCGCCACAGGTTTCTTTTTGACTCAGCAATACGTAGGCAAGACATGTTAAAAGCGAGACCGCTTTTGTCGGGTCTCTTATCTAACATACCTATCTCCAGACAAAGCGACTTATAAGTGCCGGCTTATCTCTGTCTTCCCACCCCGAAATATGATACAAAATATGTGCTGTTTAGGAAAATGTTCCAAATCTGCAGGACTACGGAATAGGAACATACAAATATATTACCGAAACACAAAATATTTCTTTCGAGAGATTTTTAGTTAAAAACCTACATTCGCTACATAGTTTCTATCCTTTTTTTAAAATATTTAGTATATCAACACGAAAAATCATGATCATATTTCTGGAGGTTCTGGCGTAATAATGAAATCAAAGACAATGGTGTGTTTTTAATAACTTAACAGACATAAAAACGTCGTAATTGGATTTTACGATGCCACTATAAAATGAATGTCAAATACTGTTTTGACCACTCATCACAAGCGCCCCACGGTCACCTGCGCATGGCCGAGTTCGCATAATGTCCTTTCCGCCGGAAATAGAACAATTACCGTTTTGATTCCGATTCATACTGTCCGTATCACGGTAATGACGCTAAATTACTTGAATGTTTATTCATGTATGCTATTGTTAATATATTTGAAGCTCATTCGGAAGTTATGTTCAGAAATAAACGTTTGACTTTTTTTTTTAAACAATATATTTATATAAGAAATATAATACGATTGTCTTTACCTACATAGTAATAATTAAAAATAAATAAAAAGAAAATTAAGACAAATTTAAAAAGTTTGGTCCCTGTGGCAGTGTACCTTTAACGCTGGCAGCATTTCCTCGCTGTATTGCGATACTTATTCGTTGAGCGAGGAAAGCACCAGCTCTGGGGTCACCGGTACTATCTACCAGGCGCCAACTTAAATCTTTAATAAGCGAACCCCACAGCTCAAGAGTGACTTTACTATAATTATAATATTGTATATCACTATGTTAATACGGAGATGGGGTAACATTTTTAACAATCAGTCAAGATTATACTCAAACGGATTTGCACTCCATTTTATAAACAAAGGAAACATATTTTGTGCTAAATACTTTTCCTACTTGTAGGTAGTGCAATATGCAATGATTTCACGAAATGACTAGCGAATTGAAGTGAACAATTCTACAATATTTAAAGTCTACCTACCGGCTGTATTACATAGAAAATCCATGAAAAAAATAGCTAGACTCACTAATCTAGAAATAATATGTAGTTCTGTCACGATACTATTCAATCATGCGGGCTTTTTAAATGATATATCAATTATAACTCTAATTATTAAATATTCTTAGTATTTTATTTTTTGAAACACGGGAATATATAAATTATTATTAAACTAAATAGATATAAAAAAGAATTACCCGCAATGTCTTATTATGGTGCTACTTAATATTTGAAGTTTATGGCTAAAAAAATATGTTTTTTTTAAATTTCTTTCTATTACCAATTTGATTATTTTACTACGCATTTAATTAGGTCATTGCTATATAGTATATCTTCAACTTCGATTTTGTTTGATTTGGAGACTTTTTGGCCAATGATTAGGCATAGATTCTTGTAAATACAAATAAATTATTTACACGTCTTGAGGTAGACTAAAATACTTACAGTAAACATTTTATTACGGTACAAGCCAAAATTTGTCCTTGAGAATCACACATTTTTTCCGAGAGTAATTACTAAGAGGTACTCTTAATTACTATAATTTTAATTAAATGAGATAATGTTTTTTTGTTTGTTTATACAATGTAACTTACTGCAAAAAATCTTAACTTTAACATAACATTGACTTAATAATTTACATAGATATCGTTGCAAAACAGGTTTTTTTTATATTGTTTTTGTGAGCAGTGTTGGCCTAGTGGCATGCGACTCTCATTCCGGATGTCGTAGGTTCGATCCCCGGCTGTGCACCAATGGACTTTCTTTCTATGTGCGCATTTAACATTCGCTCGAACGGTGAAGAAAAACATCGTGAGGAAACCGTCATGTATTAGACGCAAAAAGTCGACGGCGTTAAATTGACAAATGATTATGAAACAGATACAGAAATCTGAGGCCCAGACCTAAAAAGGTTGTATCGCCACTGATTAAAATTTAATTATATTTAACTTTACTAATGTTTAGTATTATGTTTAGTAGATGTTTCAGGTTTTAGCTTACTATGTCACTAATTATGAAGATCATCTGATGTGATGAAGAGGGAATACTTTGTCTTTGTTTAGCACTAACAATTTAGATTTTTTCTTTATAATATTATGATAAATTGTCGTTTGTCTAATGTTTGATTTCAGTTTTCTTTTTTTTGTCTATAAATGTATGTTTTCCGTTTCATATACTTTTGCTTAACAAATTTAGCTGTGTGTATTGTCTAAGTGTTTTGTATGATTGATATGTATATGTATATGTTAGCTGTAAGATTACTAATAAATAAATAAAAGCAAGTGAAGATGGAAAAATATAGCTTACTATTTCAGATATGGGGACCAGTGCTTCAGCTATAAGTGAGACTCCAGGCGGGGACTTACGCCTGCCAGCATCAGGACTACGGTTCAGTGCTCATCATCTCAGATCTCTCAACGCATACATTGAAACATTATATGAGGAAGATCAGAAAAGTAAATATTTCGTTCTTTATGAGACTACGGCTAAAATTGTAATTTATAAAATGTGTTTTAAATTAAAAAAAAAATACTTCACGTACATTTGTTAGTGTAACCTAAACCTAGAAAACTATGTTTGATTACCGACAAAATTATATGTGTTTCGAGTAGGCACATAAGGCTCCTTGTTTGTAGAAAGAAACATACGTGGGTTATTTATATGTTCGAATACCACAGACCGAATGTCAGTGTCAACGGAGATGATGGTGGAAGCCCTCGTTCAAAAACTTGTGGATGGAGCTGGGCAGAGGGACCCTCGGTTTCGTTGTAGTCATCTGATCGCCTTGCACCGAGGGAAGAAGGTAATATTTTTTTTAAAGAGGACTTTTTTACGTGAGAATAATGAGGCAGAACATTGCACACACATTGAACATTGTACAGCTTTTGTATCCCGGTTGAGTTTTTATATAAGCTGTTGTCTATAAAAAGTTATAAAACACCTTTCAAATAAAGATCTAAAGAGAAAGAACTGGCTTATTCCTCCACTCCTTTTAAATCGCCAAGATTTTTAGTTTTTAAGATGGATCCCTTCAAAGATGCGGTCTAGATCTCTAGAATACCTGGTCACCATCGATTCTTTACCACCTCTTAACACGGATGATGACTGCCGTCTCCAAGAAAGCCCAGTGGGCTATGGGAAGGTACGCTTGTCTGGTCGAGAGGCAGACAAATGGGGAGAGTTCCTGACCTCAGCGGGTTATTTATGTAGGTAAGGAAATTTTTCAGTTTATATTAGTCGCATAAGTGTAGTTCCAAAATGAATACTTTGTTTGCTTGTTATAAATCTTTGATTCATAAATTTAAAAACGGTTATCCAATGAATAAATATTTCCAAACCTTCGACTTAGGCTCAAGAAAAGAGCATAACAATTCATAAAAGGCTTGCAACGCATTTGCGAGCCGTCTGGCATTTAGAGTGTCCTTGGGTGGCGGTATCACTTAACAGGTGAGCCTTCTGTCCGTTTGCCCCCTGTTCTATGAAAAAAAAACCTGGTTTTAAGATATTAGAACTGAACAAATCTATTATATTGAAATTGAAATGTAGTATTTTTTACTACATTTATTGTATTAATATTTATACTATACACTTAAAATAATTAAATTGTATAGGGATAAAATTGTGGAGAGATGGGTGCAATTGATAGCCCGTTGCGCGCAGTCGCGCGGAGGCGGCGCTTCAAGAGTCCTCTGCGCACGCGCGCATCAACATGCTTTACCGTATTCCTACTGCTATCTCGAAAGTAAGTGTCTGAAGATGAATTTGTAAAGTGATATTATATATAAAATACATTTTAGGAAAGGGTATAAATAAAAATGTCATAGAAGGTTTTTTATGAAACAAACCCAATTCAACTTTTCCTGGCTTATAAAGGGTCTTCTCTCCTATCATACAAGATGATTAAAGTACACTACTTTCACAGCACATAATAATATACAGTGTAGGTGGAATATTTTTTTTGTTAAAGAAAAAATCTAAAAAATAAATCAGTGGCGCTACAACCATGGGCCTCAGATTTCTGTATCTGTTTCATGATTATCAATCAAATAGGCAAGTATTAGATCAACCTTCTGTGCCTGACACACGTTGTCGACTGTTTGGGTCTAAGGCAAGCCGGTTTCCTCACGATGTTTTCCTTCACCGTTCGAGCCAATATTAAATGCGCACATAGAAAGAAAGTCCATTGGTGCACAACCGGGGATCGGACATACAACCTCAAGGATGAGAGTCGCACGCTGGAGCCACTAGACCAACACAGCTCTTATGAACGTCAACAGTAAAGAAGTTAAATTGATTCTAAATTTACATTTACCAGTACCAATTCGCAAGTCAAGGGCGTAGAGTCCCTATCCCTATGACACGTTGACAAATGAAATAAGTTTATAAAAATTATTGAGAGTTTATTTAACGAGTACAGCTATCAAGTTTATAACCTCATTGTAAACCAGGGTAACGGTTTTGAATACCATCGCACTTTTTGACGATACTAATTATTTAGGAGTCTCGGAGGACCTTCATTGGAACACCTCCAAGTGAGTTTTGCTCCGGAAACGCGTCAAAAAAACGCGTTTTTTTATTCACCTGGGGAAACCCGATTACGGGCCCCGCCCTGGGCAAGTGTGATTGGCGCGGGGAGTGTGGGGATCAAGGTCGTAAATGCGATGGTCCCCATACCCACTAAAACCACCAGGGCCCAATACATAGCCATAGCACGTGTAGAGCAGTAAACAAAAGCAAAATAAGCAATATAGCAAAATAAAAAATCGAGTCAGTGTTTAATTTATAGACATATTTGACAGCTTTAATTAGCTCCAAAAATGGGTCTTTTTTATGTTTTGTATTGTTTCGCCGCCACAAATATCATAGACATGATCTGAAAAATTTTTCAGAGTTATTATAATTATCCTTTTTAAAAAATCTTTTTATGCCCTCCACTGTGACTCAATCCTTTGCGTATGGGTTCCATCTTCAGCCACAAACGGGTTTTCAGGGTCTGAATGATTCACTTTTGATGTATGTACCCATGGTCTGCCAGACAATCGTATGCTTTCAGAAGTCAGTATGAATGATAGTACCAACTTCAACATGTTTTTGAATGAGAGGAAGTAATATATCAGCTGATCGAATATTATTTGGGCACACTTCCAATCTTAGGTCTTCAGATTTGTCTTCGATCATACCAAGGACCCAATAGCCCTCAATATGTCGTCCTACAACAATTAAAGAATTAGTTAATAACTTAATGAGTTAAATAAATTTTGTAGATGTGATAATAATAGGGTTATTGGACAGTCTGGTTTTTAAATTACACTCTAGGAGTAAAACAGACTAATAACACATATAGTAAATATTAATTAATAGTGCTATAAAATAATTACCTCGATTATATTTCTTTTCCCAAATTTAGATTCATCAATCTGGACTATCTTCCCTGGGCCACCAATCTTTCCTACCGCTTGATTTTATCCATTTGATATATAACTATAGTTTCCCTAAATAACTATACCAATCACATATAGTAACTCGGCTTAAGGATTTAAGTCTATCATCTTTATATGGATTTCACGCATGGTTGTAAGATAGCTCCAATTTTGCGAAAACGCATATAATAAATAGAAAACATGAACTAATTCTATTTTAATATTTTCGAAAAATGTTCCTTTATTTCTAGGAACTTTAGTTTTTGATCTGCAATTTCCTATCGTGCAACACCATAACCAAATGTTTTATTCGTCGATTTAGCAATTTTCATGGGTTTACGATGTGTACTACATTGCTTTTGAGAATGCACTAAACCATTTTCTTCAGCGAATGCCACACACTGCTCATTGGTACCTAATTTTTTATATAATCTAATCAGATTCCACAATGAGACCACTTCCTCACTATTCAAGTCACGATTCACAACGGACCCATTCGTCCTCAAAATCATTTTCACGAGTAGAACTTGTAGACGCCATCACTATAAATCTGAAAATGATCGCGAGAAATCAGTGTTGATTATGTATGTAAAGCCAAGTTTCAAAAAATGCAAATAAAATAACGCACTTTCACGTGAAAATAAAAAAGAAACGGATTTATAAAGTAAACTTTGCACTGTAAAACTAATTACCGCTAGTCTAGCATAAACCACATTCAAAATGGCCGATTAAGTTTATAAAATTAATAGGGATGTGAAAAATAATCGATTTTTTTAAAGTGAAAATCGATTTTTGTATTTCGATTTTAATATTAAAAATAATTGAAAATTCGGCGACCAAATATTCATATACTAACTCTAACCTAACCAATCTAAATAATATTTGTTTTTGTGGACAGCTCCGATCTAAATAGAAATTGTTTATTCAAGCCTCGGCTTCTCGGCGTCCTGGTCGCCTTCGGCGACCAAATATTCATATACTAACTCTAACCTAACCAATATAAATAATATTTTTTTTGTGGAAGCTCCGATCTAAATAGTAATTGTTTATTCAAGCCTCGGCTTCTCGGCGTCCTGGTCGCCTTCGGCGACCAAATATTCATATACTAACTCTAACCTAACCAATCTAATAATATTTTTTTGTGGAAGCTCCGATCTAATAGTGTGTTTATTCAGCCTCGGCTTCTCGGCGTCTGGTCGCCTTCGGCGACCAAATATTCATATACTAACTCTAACCTAACCAATCTAAATAATATTTGTTTTTGTGGACAGCTCCGATCAAATAGTGGTTTATCGCCTCGGCTTCTGGTCTGGTGCTTGGCGACAAATATTCATATACTAACTCTAACCTAACCAATCTAAATAATATTTTTTTTTGTGGACAGCTCCGATCTAAATAGTATTTTTATTCAAGCCTCGGCTTCTGGCGTCCTGGTCGCCTTCGGCGACCAAATATTCATATACTAACTCTAACCTAACCAATCTAAATAATATTTTTTTTGTGGACAGCTCCGATCTAAATAGTAAGTGTTTATTCAGCCTCGGCTTCTCGGCGTCATGAGTCGCCTTCGGCGACAAATATTCATATACTAACTCTAACCTAACCAATCTAAATAATATTTTTTTTGTGGACAGTCCGATCTAAATAGTAATTGTTTATTCAAGCCTCGGTTCTCGGGTCCTGGTCGCCTTCGGCACCAAATATTCATATACTAACTCTAACCTAACCAATCTAAATAATTTTTTTTTGGCAGCTCCGATCTAAATAGTAATTGTTTATTCAAGCCTCGGCTTCTCGGCGTCCTGGTGCCTTCGGCGACCAAATATTCATATACTAACTCTAACCTAACCAATCTAAATAATATTTGTTTTTGTGGACAGCTCCGATCTAAAGTAATTGTTTATTCAAGCCTCGGTTCTGGGTTGGTCGTTCGGCGACAAATATTCATATACTAACTCTAACCTAACCAATCTAAATAAATTTTTTTTTGGACAGCTCCGGCGCTACGGGAAATGCAGCCCCTCCACCCTTGCGTACCAAAGCACAGGCATTTTATTCAAGCCTCCGCAACCTCGGCTTTTTGGTCGCCTTCGGCGCCAGCCTCAGCCGCTACAGCTTTCATAATGCCTGTGCTTTGTTACAGCGGGTGGGGGCTGCTCTTCCTCCGCGCCTCCGATTATTTATAACACTCTAGGGGTAAGACAGACAAGACCAGTGGATAGTGGGGTGTCTGATTCGGTTTGGGTACTTTTTGGATATTAAAGTAAACACTTTATTCTAGTAAAAATTAAATAATATAGAAAGTTGCAAACAATGAAATACAAGTACTAATTAGAAAATACAGACGAGTAGGTATCGATAATTTCAAAAATTTCGGAACCCTATAATCTATCAACACGAAATTAGGTAAATTTCAATGTTGATTATTCTATAACTTTAAATTTCAAAAATGAGGAAATAATCGATAAATAAATAAAACGATTATTAACAATCGATAAATTAAAAACACGATTTTTTTAAGTGAACGTCACATCACTTATAACCAATAGAAAAGTAGAAAATGGCGGATTGTTTACAAATTTTAATACATTACACAAAACTTTAAATTTTTTATAAAAATATTAAGACGCGTTTCCGGAGCAAAACTCACTTGGAGGTGTTCCAATGAAGGTCCCCGGACACTCCTTAGATAATTAGTATCGTCAAAAACGTGAGGTGGTATTTAACACCCAACCCCGCGTCTAAGTATTTTTAATAAAAATTTAAAGTTTTGTGAAATGTATTGAAATTTGTAAACAATCCGCCATTTTCTACGTTTCTATAGGTTATAAGAGATGTGACATTCACTTTAAAAAATCGTTTTTTAATTAATCGATTGTTAATAATCGTTTTTTAAGGTAACGTTTATAAAATTAATAGGGATGTGAAAAATAATCGATTTCTTTAAAAGTGAAAATCGATTTTTGTATTCGATTTTAATATTAAAAATAATTGAAAATCAATCATAGTTGATCAGTTTCAGTTGAACAGTTATTTTAAAAATAAATATTCATATACTAACCTAACCTAACCGATCTAAATAATATTTGTTTTTTGGACAGCTCCGATCTCAATAATAATTGTTTATTCAAGCCCCCAACCCGGCTTTTTGGTCGCCTTCGGCGACCAGCCTCAGCCGCTACAGCTTTCATAATGCCTGTGCTTTGTTACAGCGGGTGGGGGCTGCTCTTCCTCCGCGCCTCCGATTATTTATATACATCTAGGGGTAAGACAGACAAGACCAGTGGATAGTGGGGTGTCTGATTCGGTTTTGGGTATTTTGGATATTAAAGTAAACACTTTATTCTAGTAAAAATTAAATAATATAGAAGTTGCAAACAATGAAATACAAGTACTAATTAGAAAATAAGACAGTAGGTATCGATAATTTCAAAAAATTTCGGAACCCTATAATCTATCAACACGAAATTAGGTTAATTTCAATGTTGATTATTCTATAACTTTAAATTTCAAAAATGAGGAAATAATCGATAAATAAATAAAACGATTAGTAACAATCGATAAATTAAAAAACGATTTTTTAAAGTGAACGTCACATCTCTTATAACCAATAGAAAAGTAGAAAATGGCGGATTGTTTACAAATTTCAATACATTGCACAAAACTTTAAATTTTTTTTAAATACTTAGACGCGTTTCCTGTAGCAAAACTCACTTGGAGGTGTTCCAATGAAGGTCCCCCGACACTCCTAGATAATTAGTATCGTCAAAAAAGTGGGTGGTATTCAACACCCAACCCTAAACCAGACCTAAATATGTCCAATCTCATAAATAAAATGGCTGGTAATATCTCGTATTATCATAATTTTCAATTGCTATTTGCTATTCGGCGTCCATCAAAGCGCAATATAAGCGAGCCGCGTAATAATTGGAAATTTACATAAATTCACCAAGTTTCCTAACTTTGGAAATTCGGGCGTGATGTGTATCGGCGAAGTTGCTCCGACTTTAAATGGATTATACATCACCTCAAGTACCACAGAGCGGCTAGACCAGTAAGAAAATTTAATGGAGAAAGGCACTATTAATATGTGTAAATTTTAATGTTGTAATTTAGAAAATGGAGGTAGAACAATTTTTGTTTAATAATTCGCATTTTTTTTAATATTATCTCTTCACTGAGAGACCTGCTACATTACGATCTAGCCTAACTTAAGACTAATGCGTAATTTAAGTCTAAGCTAATGTACTTAATAAGATATTTAACATAAGAAAGTGTCTAACACTACTTACAGTCCCTCTTAAAGAAAAGACACTCTGTTCTTGTGTTCTATGATTTCACTTACCACTGTCTAGCACTTAAAACTTATACTGATGCTGACTTATAAAGCCCTTTGAAGGTGAGGGTTGCTAGATGAAATAAAGATCTTAAGTTTATAAAAATTCCGTTGAGGTGTGATGTGACATTAAATTCATGAATTGTTTTAATTAACCATAAACAATGGAACCTTAAATGGTCCGATTCAAGTTAATCACAATTTATTTGTTAGAAAAGAAAACATAACAGACATATCACTAATACAAGGTATATAGGTGATAAGTGCCCAAGTAAAATAAACAGAAATATTCTATTTATAATAATTAGCAGTACTGGGAATGGTTCAAATGTGCGACTCTTCCCTGGATCAAATCTAGGTCAGATTTGATCCCCGGCTATGAACCAATGGACTTTCTGTCTATGTGCGCATTTAACACTCGCTTGTACGGTGAAGGAAAACATCTTGAGGAAAAGTCGACGGTGTGGCGAATGATCACGGAATAGATACAAAAATCTGAGATCCAGAGGTTTTAATGCCATTAGTATATTGGTATTCTAATCATAATAGTTGCTAAATTTGGAAATTAATGTTGTATGCACTATAAAATAAAGATTTAGCATATGGCATTCTGTTGTCTTGGACACGTGTGTTTGTGTCTGTGTAGAAAATTATGTTTACACACTCGCGCGTATAAAATCTCTTGCGCTGATCTACAAGTATGTAGTGCTACAACCGTTGCAGAATCAGTCTAGCGAACTTTACACATTCAAAATAAATTACGGCAAAGTCAACAAACATCCAAAAAATATGTTATTCCTGCTGGACTCACTTTGTCACAAAGTTGGCCTGAATCCGACACCAACTTTACGTCAAAATTTAACTGCACACGCTGCACCGTGATAATGCGAGTGACAAGTTGGCAACTACTTCCTCGTATGGAGGATTAAGGAACGAATAAACAACTCTATTGTAAGCAAAAAATATTGAATCGAAGTATTCTTATCTATATTCTAAAATATATTTAAGTTTTTCAGTTTCGCATTAATCTATTGTTCCATATCGATAATTAAACAGTACTAGCAGCGATTAGTGAGTACCACGAACACTATTTATTTTGTCTAATAATAATATGGGTAATGTAAAAGTAATTATGTAACATTAAACCGACTTCAAATACGGAACTGAAAAGGAAAAAAAAAACAATATAATAATTAATCTTTATCCATTCTTTATCTAGGTAAATTATACATGACCTCTCCAGAAATACGTGTACTACCCTTCTCATACCTAAAGCTTAGAGCTTAGCCTGGTAACCGATTCGTGAAACTTGATCTTTTCCCTCAGTTTACATATACCTGATTTAAAGTATTACTACCTAGGAAATAATATTCGGTTTGGAAAGCATTAGATTTTTTTAAAAGGGGTAGAACTTATCAATATGCAAATTCTTATAATATTATTATTATTTTTATTATTTAAATATTATCTATCAGCATCACACCAGAGCTCAACAGAGCGTCGACTGGCGATAGTGGAAGGTCCGGCCTGGGTGATGCTACGTGTCGGGGTGGGAGAGGCGGAGGCCAAGTTGATGCTGGGCGCAAGGGTGGGCGGATGCAGCCCCCACGCGTATACCAGTACTGTACCCATCACTCATCCGTTGGCTTTGCTTCATTATACCGCTGCTAAAGGGGTCAGTATTGGTTAATAGAATTACAGATGGCTGGCTTCTGCAGCTGGCTTTTACTATACCAGATTATAACGAACTATTAAGTAGCTGCAGCATAGCATTTATAGCTGTGGAATCGGCTCCCAGTGGAGGTCTTCATTAGGGGATATGAAATCTTTTTTTTTCCAAAAAGTCGACGGCGTGTGTCTGGCACTGGAGGCTGATCACCTACTTACCTATTCGATTTAAAAATGATCATGAAACAGATTCAGAAATCTGAGTGCAAGACCTAAAAAGGTTGTAGCGCTACTGATTTCTTTATATATACAAGATTAGTAATTATTGTGACTGGTAAATTATGCAATTATTTTTACTATTATGTTGCTGCAATTATTATAAAGTAATATTTTATATTTAAATGAATATACAACTTTACAGGGCTACTACGCAGTAACGGTAGGTCCACCATCATCAATGGTGTGTGCTGAACGATCTTCCACCTGGCAATTGTGGCATCCGGCGTTGGAAGCCACATTGGACTCGCATTGTGCGGAGTATTCTCATGTGGGAAAATTGGCTGGAGCCTTGAATGTGTTGGTTGACAAGATGAGAGAAGGATGCTATGAGGTAAGTTATCTGTTGTGTAAAAAAAAACTTGACGATTAAAAAGAGTGGTGGAGAGTTTATTGCCAGTTCTTCTCTTCCGTTCTACGCCCTTGATTTGAGAACTGGCAGTAAATGTAAAATTAGAAGCATTTAATGTATATTTCTTTTTTGACGTTCATAAGTGTACGTTGTGATACCTACATGAATAAATGATTTTTGACTTTTGACTTTGTAAACATGCAAAATAATTACAGTTTCATGGATATTCTGTCTTTATACTTATGCAAGAAGAATGAATGAATTATCTTTAGTAACTTTGTATGTGTATGTATTGGATAAAAATCTGAAACAAACTAACATAACACACATATAAATTTTACAAGGAGAAATCGTAGTCTATATAAAATTTGGCATAATAGTAATATTATGGCTGTGGATCAAATAAATTTATTGACATTGTTAAAAAATTTATGCCACTATTAACGTCGTGAAATTTTCAAAGCAAACATTTGTTTGATGCGGGATGAGATAGTGGTCGTTACGAAGTCGAATTGAAGCGATAAATCTCCGGGAATTGCCAACCTTTCGTGTAAGGCGTACAAAATCTTAGTGTGAAGTTATTCTTTGTATCCTCCGTAACAAAAAGGCAGATTGATAACTGTAATTACGTTAACTATATTGTGTTAATACAACAAATAAAGAACATGTTATTGGACGAATAAAGTAATTAATCACCGAAGTATAAATACTGACATAAAAAACGCGAAACAAACCTGCCCTGCGATTCTGTAACTCACTTTTCGAACTCACACAGCGGTTTTCGCATCGGCGGTCGCTCTCAAATCAGTCGTGAAGCAGTCATTTTATGATTTGGCATTCTAATAATCAATAAACTACAAGCTCCCACCTTTTCAGAATGCCAAATCATAAAATGACTGCTTCACGACTGATTTGAGAGCGACCGCCGATGCGAAAACCGCTGTGTGAGTTCGAAAAGTGAGTTACAGAATCGCAGGGCAGATTTCCGATTTTCCGAGGTAGCGGGCTCGGATAGTGTCACTCGGATAAATAATAAATGGTTTATTGGCAAAGAAAGTGGTACATTGAAATGGATTAATTATACAAACCGCACAGCCATATTAAAATACAAATCCAAAAATATTAATGTAGTCATAATGTCATAATGAAAAGAACAGTTAAGATTGAAATGTTGTCCAAACTTCTAAGCTAAAAACTCTCACACATTATAAAGGGACCGTCGTCTAATAAACACAAATCAAATAACTTATTTGATATACTCTTAACATATCTTAACTTTATTTTGAAATACATATAGGTTTTGTTCGAGAACACAGTATAGTTAAATATTAGAAGCATCTGGCTGTTTCCAATTTCCGTATACATGTCAGTCCCGTATGAACGTACGTATTGAATTTGTCTTACTTCGCCGTCAATAAACTAGACGCCAAGTCTTTGAATCTTATCCGTATAACATTGCTCCTTAACTACCTGATATAATTGGTCGGCAATTTTGCAGTAAATATTGTTTAAAATACATATGTAAATGAAAAACTCCGTAGCATATATGTATTGTATAAGAAGGTAATAATTATTGCTAACTGTGTTTTGTGCTTATGTTTGGATGTGTATTCCGTTTTTGGCTTCTGTGTTTAATGTAATTGTTTAGATATTATAATAAGTAGCTGTAGTAATACTGATAAGCAAATAAATAAAATAACATCTATGCTACAATTGTAGTCGTATTAGTATAAGATCCCGATATACAACGACCTTCACCGAGATGCTTATTTAATGAAACGTATTTTATATTTAATTTAATATGTCAATAAATATAATCCATATGGGTTGCCTAGCAAATTTCAGTCCAGAGTATGTTTAATTAACATTAAAAAAAAATATTTTTTATAATTTGCATGTAGTAAATTTTTTTTATTTTTTTCAATCAATATTTTTAATCAGGGTAGTATTATATATGCATCACTATAACTTTCTTTTTTACTAAAGATGTATATATACTTTACTGTCACATAAAAAATATAGACATAAATAATTAATTGATTAAAAACAACCTAACGTTTGCATATTCTATGGGTTTCATACTTTCGATTGGTATAGAATTTATCTAATAATCATACCGGTGAAATGTTTAAAAAATATTTTTTTTAAATATTAATTAAAATACTCTGGACTGAAATTTGCTAGGCAACCCATATGGATTATATTTATTGACATATTAAATTAAATATAAAATACGTTTCATTAAATAAGCATCTCGGTGAAGGTCGTTGTATATCGGGATCTTAGACCATATATAATAAATGATGAATGATGAATGATTTAAAAAGTGTTGAGCATAATTCGATATTTAAGAAAGACATTATCGTATTGGCATAGTCTGTAAGGATAATGTATGTATTTCTGTATTTCTGAAATAAATAATAAATAAAAATAAAATAAAAATGTTTATGGTACGTTTGTGAATGATTAGTATTAGCAATAGTATGTTATATATACAGGGTTCTCTCCAACTGCTAAGTCGTTATGCAGTCAGTTGCGCTCTCCGGCGCCGCCTCTATCGATGTTCCACCTATAAAAGTACCACTGCAAGGGCCTGTCTCACTTCCCATGTCTCCTATCATCTTCTACTAATTTTAGATGAGTAAGTATATATTTAAATGTTGATATTGTTTATTTATAAATAAAATATTATATGTATATATGGGGTCACCGTTTTAGCGACCTCTTCTCAAACGAAAAGAGGAATACTTTAAATTATAATGAATAATTCTAACATCTGGATTTTATATGCAAAATACTTGTCATTACTTCTAATGCCCTGTTTCCTATCTCTCTGCTAAATTAGCTACAAATCCTTCGGTGTTAAACAAAGTACCAGGGTTCAATGCGGTTGAAATAATATTTGTCTTACATTGAAGTTCCATTATATTTTAAGCTCTTAATAGAACATATAGAGTTTCTTGAATGCTATATCACCGTTGGTATCAGAGATTTTCGCGCTTATATATTTTATAATAAAACAAATCTTCATATCCAGCCTACTTCAGCTGTGTTCAGGCGGTGGTGTCACCGGTTTTGTATACCCCGTAGAGAAAGGTTGCCTCGTCAGAAGAGCGGCGAGAGACATCAACTGGACTGCTGATATCACGGCTCTCACTCGATGTCTGCAATATTTGCATAGAATTACTGGTTAGTTTAATATAAAAGGTGACATCTGAAGGTTTTAACGCACTATACCGACCTGTTATTTTTGATTCTTCGGGTCTTTCAATTCAATAGTTTAATAATATTTGAAAACTAGAATATAGACTAGAATGTGTGATATTGTTACTAATAAGTTTAAATCTTATAACCTCCTAATAAATAACTGTGTGTATTATTTTAAAGGCACGATTTTTGTAGACCCATTAAGGGACGCACGGAAAGGCTTTGTATAATAAAAACATACCAAATGACACATAAACTTTTCGAAATACTTTTAGGAGACGAAGAAATTCCTAAATCTCCCTCTGAAACATTGGAAACAGCGATCTTTAGTAAATGGGAGAGACTCTCACACGAAGTAAGATGCACTGGACCTGGGAGTTATACGAAGAGACAATTACGATATTTGAATAGAGTCACATCAGAATTGGTGCGGTGCAAGCGTTCTATTGCATATGTAAGAAATATTTGATAATTACTTATATTGCCTATTATGATATCGGGCATTAAATTTCGTTGCTCAGTTGCATGTTTAATTGATATTGGATGTGGTCGGCGTTTCACCATAGTTCTATTAAATTTGAATTACTGTTAAGTGCTAAACAGTGGTAAGTGGAAAAAGTATTACATAATAACAGTGTTTTCGACTTAATGAACATTATAGTTTTGGATATTTTTTTATGCTAAATTACCTTATTTTAAGATTGTAATTTTCTATGATGACTCAGTGAAGAGCTTTGATTTAAAAAAAGAGTCAGTAGTTCTTGATACTAATTTAAACAAATTTGCTTGTAATAATATAAAGTAAAAATATAATTTTTATTGTTTGTCGTATACATATAAACTTAAACTTCACGTATTTATAATTTCGTTTATCTACTATCTATTATTAAAATAATTCGACTAAATACTGCAGTATCACAGACTATCTAAATATATTAAAGAAAGTCGTGTTAGTTAGACTATTTACAACTCAAGAGCGGTTGAACCGATTTGGCTGAAAATTCGGACATAGGATTTTTATCCTGATTGAAAATTTGACAATTAGAAGTTTTGAAGTTGATCAGTAGATTGTTTATTTCGAGTTTCTATTAGCTAATCGCGCCGATATTATCATTAACAATGCCACTACTAAGACGATCGAATCTTGTGGACCGATTTTGATGAGTTTAAGTAGATTCGAGAAAAGTTTAGATTATTTACAATTGAGCAGTGTTGGCCTAGTGGCTTCAGCGTGCGACTCTCATCCTTAGGGTCGTGGATTCGATCCCCGGCTGTGCACCAATGGACTTCCTTTCTAAGCGCGCATTTAACATTCGCTCGAACGGTGAAGGAAAACATCGTGAGGAAACTGGCATGCCTTAGACCCAAAAAGTATTTGTGTCTAATTGTCTTAACGATTTATGAAAAACTCTAGTATTTTTGTGTGCTATTCCTTTTATGAATAACTCCATACATTGGTTGTAGGAAAGTCATAGTACATTTCGAGCCAACCTCATTCAAGTTACGGCAATGAATTTAGAATCTGTCGAAGATTTGATTCACATAATGGCGATAATTTTGGATCAAGCGCGTGATGTGTATTTGAATAATGTTAAAAGTAGAACAGTTGGAGAGTTTGAAAGGGAGTTGACGGCTTATAGGTAAGTTTGAGGCTTTTTTATTTAATTAAGTATTTGTTAATAGATTATCAGCATTGCGATTCTGTAACTCACTTTTCGAAATCACACAGCGGTTTTCACAGCGGCGGTCGCGCTCAAATCAATCGTAAAGTAATCATTTTACGATTTGGCATCCTGAAAAACAATAAACTACAAACTCCCTTCTTATCAGAATGCCAAATCGTAAAATGACTGCTTTACGACTGATTTGAGCGCGACAGGTGAGATTACCTCGAAGCAGTTTTAACAAGAATTCAATAATTATCCAAACATTTTTAGATTATATGTAACTATAAACTCGTTACAAATTATAATAATAATATTAATAAAATCATACATTTTGACAGCATTAAAACGCTTTACCAAAATAACACAGTTAAGTATTTAATGTCGGCCGGTTAAACAGTTAATTCAAATACAAAATAAGTTGATAAATGTAATTTAAATGAGTTTAAATCGTATTACATTGTACTTTATATTAAATATGGGATTCTTGCAATAAATACAATATTATTCTACATAATCATTGAATGAAATTATTTATATAAGCATAGAAGATGGCTAAAATAGTAAAATTGCTTCTATTTTTCCGATATTACCATAGGTCCAAAAAGTGGAATAAATTGAAAGACTACTACGATGCATCGTCAGCGTGTTTAATAGACGCTGTGAGACGAGACAAGGACGTGAGAGAGGAAGACCTCACAGAAGACACGAGTCTCATGAATACTGTATTACACTGGCTTTATAAGGGTATGTAGCTGTTAGATTTGCAACATTTTAGGAATTTTGAAGTGAATCTTCTTTAGGCACATGAGGGTAAATTTTTACGAAAACGTCACGAAGATGTGCAGAGTTTTTGTCGAAGAAAAGGGAGAGAGCGATTGAGACCGATTGAGAGTGAGTGAGAAGGGCGAATTACCTTATAGAAATTCTATTTTTAAAATTAAAAATTCGTAAAGAGAATTTATGAAATATTAGTAGGTATTTTATATTTTATGCAAAGTAATTTATTGAAATCTCAAATGACGAATTGTAAATTAAAATGCCACGTGTTTTTATTATCGAAGAAATAAATTAAATTTGTAACTTGTATTCATTTTCGACACTTTTAAATTCCTAACATATTATCTTCCTTTTTCCCTCCCTCTAAGTCTCGGAAATCTAAAGTTTTAGAATTGTATAAATATGAACAAGAGTTAAAAATTAGTTTGCCAAAGAAGATTCACTTCTGACATGTGTACTTTGTAGCGCACGTACTTTTTTGTGATTATGAAGACGCAACATGGGGCCTCAAACTTCACCACACGCATCACAATATTGTACGAAAAGAACGAACCAATTCTTATAATTGGTTCTCTAAAAACTCTGGCAATGAGAGTGTCCATGTCTCACTTAACATTAGATGAGCCTCCATCCCGTTTGCCCCCGGTTCTATAAACAAAAACTTTCCGTCCCTCTCAGGGAGAGTTCTTTTCTTAATAGACATAATGATATTTATTTTTACGAGACGTGTTGCTTTTAGGATCCATGTATTGTATGCGGGACGTTATTTCTCACGCCTTTAATGCACATAATACTGGTACATACACTTTGTCCTTTTTTTTGCTAGATAAAGCTTGCTTTTTCGAGCGACTTTGCCCATTTGGTATGGTTAAGTCACTATTAATCACTTTCTGGATACCTACTCATACTGATGATAACGAAAATCCATAAAAACTCTTTCCATCCATCAAAATTAATTAAAACCGGTTTAGGCGTGAAAGCGTTTCAGACGAATTGGTTGAGCATAATAAAGTTTAGAACTACTTGGCCTATTAGCTGAAATTACGCAAATGAATTTCAGGTGCAAAAGAAGATAAGAAATACCTTGGCCCAGTTCTAAAACCATTTTTAGATGATTTATTTGTGTCATCATTAGAAAACTCATGGTTTTCGGAAGACTTTATATCGAAAAATAGTGATTTGGAAATTGACGGATTGAGGGAATACTGTATGGGGGTTCATGAAGGAGTAATAGAACCGCGAAAGGGACTGGTCGAAGTGGCAAAGAAGCAAGCTTGGGCTAAAGCGATTGTGGATTTTGTTGATAGACACCGACTTGTTGGTAAGTTGGTATTTATTTTTAGTATTACACCAAAAGAACTGGTACCTTACTATCTTTGTTCCACTCGATTCCAAGGTTGTGACATCAGCTACGGATATTGATAGAACTGCATAAGGAATTACATACAAAACTTCGCCATCGCTGTAGCTATTGCAATTTACAGAGTAAGGGTCCTGTCCTGAATTAACTTAGAGATGCGACAAGTGTACGGTCGATTATATATAATTATTATATTATTATTATATATATAATATATATTAGTATACATTTTCATGTTAAATTATTTTCAAAGAACTTCTTGCTAAACTTCTCTAAAGAAATTTCAAAAGCATTGTATTATTGTTAAAAGGTTTTCATGCGGCCGTCACGCATTTCATAAATACGTCTTTTTCTTAAAGGGGTAGGCAAACATAACATACCTTCATCCATTTTCATGACATTCACAATGCATGGTCTTCGCCACACATACTTTTTACGCTCTTATTTCCACGGCATTTATTCTACTTCCATTTTTTCCCTGCCACACCCAACATTCACTCCCGTGTTAACTTCGGGATAAGCACTCCACTTTGTACGGCCAGTCGAGCCTCATTTGAGATTTCTTGTATTCACTTGTCTTTCTATATCATCGTCATACTTTCCATCCTGAGTAAACATGCAGTCTAAGTACCACACAACATATATTCCAACATATATATATGTATACTCATAACATTAACACAAAAAATCTTCATAATTTCTGTTCTCGTGTATTCTACTCTTTTCCCCTCTGTACAATCAATTAATTTTGCGGACGTCGATAACAAAATTAATATGAATACAGGGCCTTAAATTACCTTTACATAATTCATAAAAATTATCCCAAAAGAGCAAACAGGATCGGGGTTTAACAGGAACCAGCCGTTTCTGAACTCTGACAATACTTTTGTACCTGAGCCGTAGTTTAATGAAATGGTCCCAAAATTTTGGTGAAATGTTAATGCCGGTAACATTGATATTTATTTAATGGAAGAGCAATTTTATGAAATTAAATATTTTAACCTTCTATTATGTGGTTGTATGTTCCAGTTATTTGGATCGTTGGAATTTTGGTTACAAATTTGCATTATGTTCTCTAAAAATTGTAAAAATCTATCTAAAGATATCCTAATTATAACTAGGAAATTGGATATTGTTTGCATTTTAACACGTTTTTAATGTTCTTTCAAATAAACATTGCCAAATTTTTTAAGAGTTTTTAGTTTTAAAAGAATGTATACATAGGTACCTACTGTATCTATGATCTGTAAGTGGCATATTATTCTGAGTAGTGAAAAGTTTTTTTTAAGATAATATAATAAACTAACTATTTTGAAGATTAATAAATTAGATTAAGATATAATTATATAGATATAGTTTTCGAATTCATTATTTAATACAAGTGATATTCCTGATGAGGCGTTAAGATTGATTTTATTAAGACAAGATATATATTTGGTATGCAAGTGTACATACAATATAGTGTATATTTCCAAGCCTGCTGAAAAAAGCACATCTAGAATAAATTGTATCAAACCAAAGGGCGCTTAAAGCTAACTTCCCGATACTTTGAGAAGTTCCTTCAACTAAAACTCGATATAAATAACTTAATTATATTCTAAACTTTGCTTCTAAGATAATGCTCGTAAATTTTAACCAACATTCAATGTTTTAAGGTGTGTTATATACATTATATACTTATAAGATTGTATAAGTCAAACTATCCCGATATAAACACAAAACGCATAAAAAATAAGTTATTAAAATAAGGTATGTGAACATTCACGCATACTTATACAACTTTTCTTTAGTATTGTCTTTGATTAACATAACCTTTACAAAACGAAAGAAAAACAATCCTCGAAAACAGAGGACACCGTGAGCCATTTTTGCCAAAACCCTCCATCTTTTAGTCGATACAAACTCCGGGGAAATAAATACAGATAATGCAACTTTCTCTACAGCTGTGATACTTTTTGACATCCAACACCTTTTGTCTTCAGTCACCGTGACCACGCACGCTGTAAAGCACGCGAAACGTCGGATAAATTTAAATTTATGTTAAATAATTGTAAATTTATACTAATACATAACTTTAATCCGGTTAAAAAGTTTTTCTTTAAACTTTTCTTTAATTAGATGTAACACTAAGACTACTTTTTCTTTAAAAAAATGTATTAAACATGCACACTGTACCACAGAATAATTGTAATCTAGTTAGCCACAACACAGGCTCCCTTGTGTGGGGACTAGCGTTAGATCAATTTTGTCAACAATCATATTTCTGTCATGAATAAAGTTTTTATTATTTTATTAATCTTTATTTTAATTCTTATACTTATTTTGAGATAGTGAAACGCGTTTACGAGAAATATGCTCCACAGGTATTTAATTATAAAACTACCGACTCTAACACACATTAATGAACTGTGAATTATTCCCTCTACTTGTAAGCCGTATAGCCATATAAATTTGATTAAATTGCTCAATAATTTAATGGATTTAGATTAAATAAATTCGTTCGGGTGATGTGTTTTGGGTATACATAACGAATACCTTAAACTTATCTTAAACTTTTTGCTTTGATCGTTGTATGTTCACATCGGTCCTAGATTTGTAAGGTTATATAGGCAGTTCTATTCTCTACATTATTTGTAAAAGGAATGAAAAGTATCAAGTGTTCCGAAGTAGGATTTTCCCAGACAAAAGCTACCAAATATTTGCCCTTTCTTAGTTCAGGTTTGTGTTGTCATTTGTTTGACAATCGTCTATCTTTGGCCGTCCCTCGGGAAATCAAAAGTTAGACGTAAGGGTCATCGAGTTGACTATCTTTAAGTTTAGGAAAGTGAAATGTTTCGAATTGAAAATTAGGGGATTATTGTATCTGAAGAAATATCATTAGGTCCGTAGAAAAGTGGAAAACTCAAACAATAATAAATATTTAAATTTTCTTAATTACTAATTAATAATTAATACTTATCTTATTCGTACATAGTAATAATAAAAATAATTAAAAATTAATAAAATAATAAAAGGATATTGAGACAAATTTAAAAAGTTTGGGCCCTGTGGCAGTGTACGTTTAACACTGAGAGCATTTCCTCGCTGTATTGGGATATCTTAATATATATATTTCTTCTGTGCGTGTGTATGTGACTGAACTCCTCTGCAAACGACTGGACCGATTTTGATGAAATTTTTGTGTGTGTTCAACGGGATCTGGGGATGGTTTAGATTCACAAATCAGCTGGCAGATGGCACTGCAGTCGGATTTCATACTTTGCTTAATTCCTACTGTTTAATATCATGCAGGACAACGTCTGTGGGGTCCACTAGTACTATATATATTTGCTGTGCAGAATTTTCATTTTTAAGTGGTGTTTGTTTACGTATATCCATAGAAACTTAAGTATAATACGCCGATCTTATGGATTTTTTATCTCCCACGTTATTCTGGAGTATGAGATATTGATATAGTGGTAGCAAGCATAGAAGGAACATGGAAGCATATAATTTTTTAACATAGTCTATATACATTGGCCTTAAAGTCATTATTCCATTTATATGCGTGCAAACTCCCAACTCATAATTTGGACAACTAATAAGTGTTACGACCAATATCCATAGATTTGCACTTCCTTGTGCTTATTGCTTTTTGCCATAAGGCAGCACAATTAACTATTATTATTCAAACTTTAATAATGAACATGTGTGTAGTAGTTTGTCACTTATCTTATAATTATGAAAACATTAACTATAATGTAAGCTCTAAATAGACATTGACATATGAAGATGAGCTTTCAGAATACTTAAGTGGTTTCAATGTATAAATGCAAATTACACAGTTCTAAATGTTATGTTAGCGAAGCTTCATCTTATTACTAATAGTTTTATTTGACAATTGTTAAAGACTTTATAGTAAATAAACTCTTTAAAACAACGCTCATTTAGAAGCACGCTAGAGTTTCATCTCTTCGTTGTTGACATCCAAAAGTGCCGCTCTGCAAGGTTTGGTGTGTTATTTTTATAAAAACAGGAAAGAAGTGGACAGTATAATATGGGTTCAATTAAGCGGCGGTTAAATAGGCATCTCCTGATCAGGGTATGATGGAGCCCTCGAAGAGGCCAGATCTCACTTAGCATCAGGTGGGATTGTGACCAAACGTCGGTCCAGTTCCAAATAAAAAAAAAACGATGACTATAAAACTTTGTGCATTTGTCAAAATTGCTGTACCTTTATTTTTATTGTATATTAATCGAGCGAAGGTATCCTCGCTCCAGAGTGCCACTGATACATCTATTATTATTATACAAACAAGTATCTTTCCTAATTAATTATGTTTCCAAGCAGATGAGATTGTAAATCTAAAGACTACACGATAGCGCGTTCTTTTTTATTGTGATTAGTCTACAACATCTCTAGTCAAATCACAGACAAGCGACGCGTTAAGTTCTCCCATTTGACAATCTAACGAAAAATACTGTTATTTGTTAGTTTTAAACAAACAAGTTATTTGCAATAAGTCGAATTCCTTGACAAAATAGCTAGATTAATTGATATTTATTTCAGATTTCCGTTTAATATTTCCAACCGGCGATGGTCTAGCGGTATCATATCCTCTTAAGCTATCTTCTAGAAGAGACCAAGCAAGGACTTTGACGCTGAATAGACGGGATAAGGCTGAAGCTAAACTGAAATTAGCAAAACGATGTGTTGTTAACGCATTTAATGATGTCCTTGTTGGAAAACGGTAAGTGCTCCTTTATATTATGAAATTAATATTGTAAGAAGAATATTGTATCGAGGCAGAATAGGAAATTAAGTGGTTTTTAGGCAGTTTCTACCGCACACAGCTGCCCACTGAAGTATTTCCGAAACAATTTAACTTAGGCTCCGAAAAGGAAAAGAGGGAAAAGAGCGTACCAATTCTTAAAAGCCCGGCGACGCACTCGTTAGCCCTCTGGCATTGAGAGTGTCCATGGGCAGCGGTATCACTTAATAACAGGTGAACCTTCTGCCCGTTTGCCCACCGTTCTATAAAAAAAACTATTTAATTTATCAAGTATCATATCGTATTTTGCCCGTTGAATGTGAGATTTTGGGGTGATTTATAACTATATGAACTTTATACTATATATAATTTATAATAAAGTAGATTATTATATTCATACACTCTTACCGAGGATTTGTAACATTTAATTACATTTAACTACTTAGACAAATTTAAAGAAAACACTTTTTTACCGGAATGAAGTTATGTATTATTATAAATTTACAATTATTTTACATAAATAAAAAAAACGACTTTCGCGTGCTTTACAGCGTGCGTGGTCACGGTGACCTTCGTTAAATCAGTCGCTATTCGGCATTAAATAATATGTCGAATAGTGATTACATATTAATATATCAGTTCAACTTGGTTCTAAGTTTTTTTATTTATTTGTTAACACTTTCTTTGTTACACAATAGTAGAATCATACGGCGGGTTATAACGAATTCCGATATAAAAAGTCACCACAAAAAATCTAATTCAGATTAACTTTTCTCTCATTTAATTTGAATTTCTAACAATGTTCCACATCACAGTCGACCAGGGAATAAGTAAAACGAGAAATTCCATCCGGCCATTGCCAGTTTTAATTTGCTTCCAAAAAGTCAAGATTTTTAGACAAGCTTTGTTGTCCTTTAGACATTTAATTACATGATTTTGTTTATTTATTTTATTTATTTATTTACACTTCGTTGCTAAAAAAAAGAAACAATACATAAAAATTATAAGGGATGCAACGGGCGGCCTTATCGCTAATAAGCGATCTCTTCCAGGCAACCCTAGTTAAAGAGAAAAACTAAAAAAAAAAGAAACATGATGCGTGCGAGAACCAAATGTTATATTAAAAAAAATATATATATAGTACCTTAATCTAAAGTAATACAATAAAAAAAATATTAATAACAGACTAAAAACTTAAAAGCTAATCATACAAATACACGAACAGCGAATAGTGATGTAAAAGGAAACATAAGAATTATACAAGTCACGATTGATCAGGATAGGATAAGGTTAAGAAATGATTATACAGAAGAGTTTTAAAAGATGACAGAGAGGTAGCCAATCGTACGGAGTCAGGCAGCGTATTCCACAACTTAATGGCGGAGATCGTAAATGAATTGCCTAAGAAGGATGAAGTGTGGGATGGAATTTCCAATAAACATCTATAAGAAGAGCGTAACATATAGTTAGAAGGACCTAAGAATTTGAAGTGATTTTAGAGATAAGAAGGGGTTTTCGGATTGAAAAGAATTGAGTATAGAAGTTGAAGAAGATGAGCGTGACGTCTGAATCGAATAGGTAGCCACCCCAGCTGCCTGCGGAATTAAGACACATGGTCATATTTTCTAAGACCAAATATGAAACGTATGCAGAAATTCTGCAGGCGTTCGATTTTGTCCGCATAATCAAGAATTGGAAGCAGAAGAGACTGCGCTAACATAGTTTTGGTGCGGATAGGAAGGAAATTAGAAAGACGTTTCAGAGTAAAAGAAGCGGCGTAAAGTTTACGGCTGATCTCCTTTACGTGACATTATGTTCACCCTAATTTTAACTTGTTTATAACAGTTTCTACATGAAAACGGCCGTACGGTCTACCGTGCAAAGAAAATAGTACAGTTTGATTAATTATAATAAAAAACTTCACAATCACCCATATTAAAATAGGCATGCCAATGGAATATTATCTATTACGTATATAATGCAGTTATAATTAAGATATTTATAAAATTTAGACTATACTGTGTAATTAATAGTACGCTTCAACATTATAAAGGCAACTTGCCTTTAAAAATTTAATCACCTTCCCCTTAAAAGCATTATACGGCAGTTAACAATAACTTCTAGGAAGGTGATTAAATAGTTTGATAGCCATAGCGTAATTTTTTTTAAAGACATTGTGGTGCTTAATCCGAAGACCCACAGCCGTGTTGGATCCCTTGGTAGACACAGGCAATCTATAAATGTTTTGAATCAATTTGGATACTATTTTACAACTGCACCGTCAAAACACCGAGGTCATAAAAAATCGGCAAAACGAGGTTCAACACTCATAAGTAACTTATTTTTGTTACATTTCATGTCCCCAAGTTCTCTTTCCGACGATAAAAATATTGATTTCTGTTGGAAGATACAGAAATAATACAAACTATAAATAAAAATCGTAAAAAGCTTCAATAAAATAGAATAATCAAATATTAGATTTTTTTTTTGGTTTTTCCTAAATACAAGTTTTAATTACTTGATGTTACTTCTATATTACTATTGGGTAACATAATATTATTAATACTTTACACATATTATGAATAAAAGAACAAAACACGGAAGGATAAAATATATATTGATAAATCACGACATAAAAAGAAATCTACTTAACACGTATAAATAAAAATCTTTGAAACCAAACGAAATAATCGTTATCAAAGGGAGCTAAGTGAGAAATATCGGGGGAATCCTTTTAGTGTGAATGGAACGTGATGGAGCCTTTCCCAATGGTTGCTGTATTTTATTAGAATTCAGGGCAGACTGCAATTTACGGTACATTTTTATCGTTGACCTTGCACAGATTTTTCGGTACATTTCTAAAATAAAAGTGAACATAAATCTAGATTCGCTTACTTTATCTACTAACATAGCTATGTTTACATATGTATGTAACGCACGTATATCTTAAGTAATTACTACCTACACAATATGCCAAATTGTTACTAATCAATCACAATTATATATCATTACGATACCAATAAGACTTTTGTAACTTGGCATTTAAATAATACCATTTCCAATTAGTTGAATTAAGTTTACTTTGACGTGCACATAATTAAGGCAAACGATCTTCGCTATTATTAATATAATATTTAGTAGTTCGCTGATGTTTTTCTTCATACTCCAATTAGAAGAGTTTTAAATATTAAATGCGCAAATAGACAGAAAAGTCTGATTGGGCGCCCCGCCGGGGTTCCAATTTCCCCCCCCGGGGGGGGGGCCTCCCCCCAAAAAAGGAAAAAATTTTTTTTGGGGTTTTTTTTTAGACATTTAGAACATTTTTTACAGATTTAACAATAAACAGAACCACCATGGTAGTACCGACGAAATTTTAACTTGCGCGAAAAACGGTAGCTTTTGGAGAACTACCAAACCAGATATTATTCCATCAGCGTCAAGCACTTTGGAGGTACCGAAGGTCAGACGTAGACGTCCAGCCACTATGTATGGGTTTCCAGAAATTTCTATCACCAACCAATCAGATACAAAGACGATGCGACGAAAATACCATACATTGAAGAGCTTGGTGTACTCAGACCAGGTAGACGTTAAAGAGATGCGCAGAAGACCGAGATCTGCTGGGTCTTCTATGAAAAATAAGGAGCCATTGAGTAGACCAAGTCTTTTAGAGACTCTTGATTTTATTAATAGCGTAAAGGATGCACTTTGCGGTAAGCATCTCCGTTCAAGCTACATAATATGTTTACAAAATAAAATAAAAATATAGCCAATTGGTTTTTTAAGTTAAATATTATTTATTTACAGTCAAAATTGCGTTGTTAACATTTAATATAGTAGAGAATTTCGTAGAGATCTACGCACAAAATTGGTCTCTTTACAGAAAGTAGCATTTAAAAATTTTACTTCTATTTTAACAGTTTTTATTCAATTTTAACAGTTTTTATTCTATTTTAACAGTTTTTATTCTATTTTAACAGTTTTTATTCTATTTTATGGCCGTTTTTTGTTTAATTTACGTAAGAGTACGTATGTGCAATTCTAATTTTTGTAAGAAAAGTCTATCTTTTTGTTGTGAATAAATAAATGTACTTTTTTTAGACTAGTTAAAAACAAGTAGCTTTGCTAAAGGGCATCAGAGATGTATATCCCAGTCACGAGTATGTCTGTCTCAGTTACTTGACAACTAAATTCTTTTCATTATTTCTTTTGATAAAAGTTTTTAACAAATTTTAGTTAGTCAAATTAAGATATGTATATGAAAACATGTAAATTTAAAAAGTAGTAATGGTTTGTAGTAGAAGAGTCAGGCGTGTCGGATGTAGAAGATAGCGGCTGGAGCGTAGAAGATGAATGGGTTCTCACTCAAGTCACTCCACTTAACATGATAACAACAAGCGAAACGGGAACATTACATCTTTTGCTGTCTGACATTATACTTTCTGCTTTACGAAGAGGATGTTTTACGGTGAGTAAAACGTAACACACTATACACATATTTATTTAATTTTAATAATAACTCGTTTAAGATTTCTTTAATTACTTTATGTCTTATGTTCCCTGAGGTCAAAGCGTATGAATGAAATCTCGTTCCAAGACTCAGACTTCTACATGTATCTAATTAATCGACTTTTATGACAGAGCGAATTAAGCTGTCTAGTTCTGAAGCATGATGCTTTGAACCCTGAGACCATTCAAATCCCTGTGCACTAATACATTTACTTTTCATGTGTGTGACACTGGACTCCTGACACAATCAAATTCACACCATGCAAAAGCAAAATATTTGAAATTTGGAAAATAGCGAGTATTATATTTAATTATTGTTAAAATGATATAAAAGCCATGTCAATGAAAAATGTTGCGAAACAGGAAGATTGTTTCCTTTTGAGGGCTTCCCTCAATTTTATTAAACGTGCTATTTCCATCTAGGCTCTCTAATTGAAATATATTTTTTCTGCTAATATTTTATTCCATTAATCGAGGACAATTATAAGCAAAAACACAGCTAGTATCGAATAATCAGATCCCGAAATCTGTGGCTAAGCGTACAAGTCAAATAAAGGGATGTCTTTGAACAGATGTTGCAAGAATTGTGTTTGTTTCTTGGTGAGTCGAGCGAAGGAGCGTTATTCTCGCTCCATCGACTGTCACGCGCCGCTCGGGCCAGGAGTAGCGAGCGTGTTAATAGGTAAGGAATGTCTTTAGGCATAACATTAATTAATTTTTGTTAATATTATTAGTAGTATTAAACGTAATTTAAAATGTAAATATAAGGTACGTCGCTAATTGCAATAAAGCGTCTTTTAGACAATCTAAAGTATGATGTCATATATTTAACCAAAAGCTCCGTCTTTCTTGTTTATGCATGTAATTTTTATTTACTTAGTAATATTTACGTATAAAAATGATAATATGTGTGAGGTGATTATCTCAATGGCTGTTCTATTTATAAGTAGGAGCTCCCGCAAATTTTGTTTCACCTTAATATGTTTCTTTTTACTTAGCCTACCTTTTTAATAGATACATAACAACATTGCTATGCTATCCCATAAAGACTTTTCTCTTTTCCGAAATAAAAAGCTAAGTAATAAATAAAATTAATAGTTTAATTTTTTTATACTTTTGAAAATTTTCTCAGAGTTCAATTAAATAATAAAAAAAACTACTCCAATTGGTCCAGCTGTCTTCAAGTTTAGCGCTTAGCGAGTTATTTTGCCATTCATTTTCATTTATATAAATATTCTATTTATTTGTAATACCTGTATAGCATAGAAGTAGTATCACATATGTTTAATTTTAGTACCTGGAAGCTCCCCGAAGCACAGTTGCCCATAATAACACAGCAGTACAAAGTACGACCACCTGATTATTTCTCTGGAGATGAAACACAACCTCCCCCTATACCTAAGCGATCTACCTCTAACGAAGTAAGTACAAGTAAAATAGAAAAAATAAAAACAAAATATTTAAAAGCACACGCAGCAACACTATTTTTGCTTTATAAACAAGATGAGATAATTTTGTGTTAGTCAGAAATAAATGATCTTTATTTCTCTCATTTAACATTTGCAACAAACAGTACGATTACAATTAAGAAAGTATTGGGAGACTCACCAAGTTCTCCTTCACCGTCCGAAAAAGTGTTCAAGTGTGTGTGTGTTGTGTTGTTGTTCTGTGAGTGTCTGTTATATGCTTTGGACAGGGTTGAAATGCACAACCTTTGCATTATTGCGTTGATAAAACTACTAAAAATTATCCTTTTTACAGATAATCAAACAGTACGACTGTTCACCTAGAATAGAAATCAAGCCATCCACAGGCATAATTAATCCCATATATGACATAAAAATACCAAAAGATAAATTTGTGAAACGAACGAAATCGTTAAGTAGGACGCCCAGTACCAAGAGTGATAATTTAACTTTGCGTAAAAACAAAACAAATGACGTACACAATGCTATAGAGGGGATCGAAATGAAAAAACATTTTCTCCAACGATATAATGGGAACGGCACTATTGGTTCATATAGAATTAGTAGGAACAATATTGAATAGGTGTATATAGTAATATTGTTTACTCATAAATGCTGTTTACGCAACCTTGTAATTAAACAATTTTTATGAAACCTTTGCCCAAGATAACATCTTCCGTAGATTTTTCTTTGTTTCTTTCGTGTATATAGTAGAATCGTTCTCCTAAATATCGATTCTCCTGCGAACGCTTAACGTTAGTGTAACCTATTTTCTTATATCGGAAGCTAAGAAGATTTTTTGTAAGTAAATTTAATAATATTTCTATACTATATTTAGTCTATAGTGTGTGGATTTTTGATAAATAAAAAAATATGTATTTGTATAACGGTTCATTTATAGACGCGAATTTATTTCTTGCTTTCCGGCAATTTCTCGCTGACTACGATTGCTTAATAAATTCGCGTCTTTTTTTTTATTTCGGTTTTAAAGAACGCACTGTTACTTGCCTAAATCCAATCCGCTGTTTTGCTGGCAATTTTTTTTTCTTAACACAAATTTCTGGTATTTTTATTTAACAATATATTTTTAAAGTATTTATTTTTGTATCTTTTATGTTTACCTAAATTGTCATACATGTTAGATAAAAGAGTTTGTAACATATACCGTAGATTTTTTTTTATTTAAAGACATTTCACACCAATTGACCTAGTCCCATGCTAAGCTTGCGTTATGGGTACTAGGCAACGGATATACATACATATTATAGATAGATAGACATATAAATACATATTTAAACGCCCAAGACCTAAGCACAACACCAAATGCTCATCACATCGACGTTCATCTCAGCCGGGGATCGAACCCGGGACCTGTGGATTCGCAGTCAGGGGTACTAACCACTAGACCAATGAGTCGTCACTTTAGTACTATGATGTGATACTTTAATAAATAAATTTCCCATCTTATATCAAAATTATAAAAATAGGTTTAGCAGTTTAAACACGTATACAGACACTTGCGCATTATTAGTTGAGATTTGCGACTGTATTGTTAAGCAATTTGCCAATACGAAGCAAGGTTACCGGCGCGCGGCGTCACATTGTAATGTACAGTGGAATTTCTCGGTAAGCGGTTAAATAATGGTTATTGATGATATATTACTGGGGATCAACGTCGTCTACCTACGTATGATAACTTCCCTTTATACATTACGTTTGTTTCTCTTATTTGTAACTAAACAAAGACGAAGAATTATTAATATTAAAATTATTATTTATTTATTAACACTTCGTTACCTTATACAAAAATATACATATAAAAAAGCAGGTTACTATAGTTATTAGGCAACGGGCGGCGTTATCGCTAATAAGCGAGTTCTTCCAGACAACCCTTATATGGAACAATAAAATAAGAAACACCTACAGAGGGATTATTAATTATTTATGTACTAGTTGTGCTTGTGCATAAATAATTAACAAAAAAGAACACAAAATAACATGTAACACTACCTATAACTAAAATAAAGTAAAATCTAAAGAAAAAAAAAATAATAATATGTATACACAAAAATGTAAAAGCTAATCCAAGGGTTAATTGAGTCACAATTAGTGTAGCTAATTACGAGGCAGAAGAAAAATTATCAAAAAAAAGAGTCTGGTATTTTCTTCTTAAATTTCCTTAAAAAATTGTAAACAAACTCTCTTTTCTAAGTATATGTTTAAGAACAGTAAATAAAAATAAACCAGTAACTTTTTGGTCGTCGATTTTTGAAGTGGTTCCACTGATGGGTTTTGTTTGACAACTCGGCCTAATCATACAGGATTACTCACAATTGTCTTCTATATGAGTCAGTGCGAATGAGCCCATTAAAGATCGATGCACAGCCCTGATTCGGTGACCTCAGAGTTGAGAATCATTTAACCACTAAGCTAACACCGATGATAGCTAAGTTTAATATCATCTTTTTATTTGATACATAAACGTATACTTAGAAGCTTGTATTCGCTCAATCATGTATAAGTGCAAAACTTTGTAAGTAACTTTAAAAATCAATTTAGTTGGATAGTATTGATGGATCATTTTTCTATGTAACTGTTTTTTAAAGAAAAATAGTTACAGCACGGCTTGCATACAATAAGCTTTAATATTTTATAATCGTGTGTTTTTTGTAAAACAAATTTGCAAAATGTATGTGTGTGTCTTTGATACTTTTAAAAATATTTTGATATAAGGATTGGAAATATTTTGAATTTAATTCTAAGTTAATTTTGTTGTAAAAATAAAATACGTAGCACATATCGGAGGGTTTTATTTTTCTCTTACCATTAAATCTCTATTAGTGGAAGCGAAAATTACATTACCATATGGGTACTATATCTTAAGGATATACGTATTCACACTCCGGTCGATTCAGGACCAGCTTTAGCCAGATAGCGCATGAATGGGCTGGCACGTCTGAGATGTTATTATTATTTAAGTGGTATACGGGATTCAAAACCTTTACATATTATGATTCTTTGATTCTTCCATTCTAGAGGTAAAAAATATGGTATCATTGCTGAGTAAACGAATTCGGATGTATTGACTCTCAAATAAATCAATTAAGAAGCCGTAATTTTTTAATTTATCTAGATAAACTATACCTAGCTCTTGCCTATACTATTGACACAGGGTAATGGAACACTTTTTACTAAATTTCTATGCGTTAAAATCTTTTAAAGCTTTAGAAGATATTATTCAATTTTACTTAAAGGGTAAGAAACTATTGCAATATTTTAATCCAAATAATTGTTTCTTTAAATGAATGCCAAAAAAAATTATTACCCTCTATTGCCCACAAAATTGGTACACTATTCGCGTCTTTTAAAATTCGAACGTGCTTAGACAACAAATTGAGATTATCTGCACTATTCGACTATACACTTCCCTTTTCCCCACGGACGTATAAAACGTGTTTCTCTCTTTCTCAAATTTCCCTTACGCGCCTGCGCGCCACTGCTTTTCCCAAAAGATCAGTCGAAGCTGCGTAGGTACTTTTTGAAAGCAATTCGCATCACCACAGATTCAAAACATTTGGATTAAAGAGCTCGTATGTTGTTCTATAAATAGTGTTTTAGTATATTGCTAGCACCTTCTATTCACTAAATCAGAGGTGACAAGTGAATAAACATTTTTATTAAGCCAACCGTCGACAGTTATCTAATTTAGAATAATAGTTACGCAAGAGGGGAGGATCACTCTACGAAGCTCCGAGTTACAGACGTCCGAGAGTCAGCCTCCGGAGCCCATGGAATAGCCCGGTTTTGCCACGTTCTTGTGAGAATATAATATTACCTTTAATCGTAAAATTAAAATATTAATTAAAAATGTTCTATTTATTGGCTTGTGTAAATTCATTTTTGAAATATTTATTATTTTCAAACAATGTCGGTATTTCGATCCGTGAGTGATTTGAATAATCAGTGGTTAGAACTTTATGGAGGATTTTTCGATGATTACTATATCCCAGGTAAATCTTTTTTAGTGTTTAATTATTAATATTATTATGTTTAATGTGTTTTAAACAATATTTTTTACATTTCCAAAGCAACTACTCGTTATTCTAATATAATACTATATACTAATATACATTACTTTATATCAGTAATTAATATAAATTAAAAATCATTTTTATTCATAAAACCAAACTAAAAAAAGGAGTATTCATGAATAAAAAGAAACTCCATTTTTATTTGTGTAAGTAGTATAGAACACAAAAACGCTACTAAACAGACATATTTCTTCATCTATTTTATTTATAATTTAGTTTACTCAGAAACAGTAATTTAATAAATAGCTACAAAGCTGCAAAATTTTGAGATACATGTAAAATTAAATAACACTGGACCCATATATCATTGTGGCGGTTTGCAATCTTCTCGAAGGGCAAACAACAAATATAAATATTGCTTGGTTGATACATTTTTAATGACTTTATATCACCTCGGTGTACGTCGTTTAAGTGCTGACTGTAACTTTTGCCACGTTCCACCATTATGTGGAACCAGCTTCCCATCGGAATATTTGACAATTTTAAATGCTAGTGCACCAATTGCAAAAAGACCGGCAAAACTAGCGATATTGTGGCACTTTATTAGTATAAATGGTTAATATTTTTTTGCACTGTTTTGGTAATTTTAACGCAACTCTTAGTCTTTAAAAAAATTGTATAAACCTCAATGAGAAATTATACAAAATAATACGAGAATTAAAAATAAATGTTTTTCGGTGTTTGAGGTTTATAGAATGTTTATTAGACCGCATCATTCACCTTAAAGTCTAAATGAATAAAGGACTATACTATTTATATATTATAACTACCTGCCTAAGCATAATATTATGTACTTATGTGTAAGGTATAACTTAGTAAATATTTATTCATAACTATGTGTTAAAAAGAACTCAATCAACCTAATAGAATCCCGTAGCAGTTACGCTACGAAATCTCTACGAACCGTAGCAGTAACGTTAATAATTAAATGTCTTCGCTACCCAATGATTTTCCTCTTGGGTGATTTACCTTTAATAACAACGGCGCATGAACAGGACCGATAATTATTTTATGTAAATGTCTATTCCAACGGTTTCTTCAATTTGGATATAACAACAGATAAGATAATAGGCGTCCTTACATTGTTTTAGGTATTCAAGGAAATTGTTGTTTATACTGACTGCTGTATAATTTTCAAAAAATCACCTAGTTACTTTTAAAATAGTCTCTTAGATTTTAGAGATTAGACGAAGTGATGTTAAGGTCCTAATACGAAATTATTGGTATAATTAGCTGATGCCTATTTGGCTTAAAACATTGACGAAACATGTCTACCCCATGCCTCAGTGCAGGGCTTTACGCAACTCTTGCTCTGTTAAAAAATAAAAAAAAAAGTTTTAGTCTCCGACTTTAAGTAAACGTCAAAGTATCCACCCTCAAAGACCGGCAACGCACCAACTAAACGCGATGACTGCCCTTTATGGGCGTCCCGTTGCCCCTATTATATGATAAAATAACAATAAATAAATATTTCAGTTACATAGTCCTTACA